CAGAGGAGCCTGGCAGGCGACAGCCCAGAGTCACAAAGAGTTGGGCATGACTGATCAGCTGAGCGCACGCACACACAAAGACACCAATACTTCCCTAGAGCACCGAGACTCAGCACCGTAACAAGGCCTTTCAATACTTAGCCCTGGTCTACATTTCCAATCTCATCCCTTTCTTCCTACATTCATTGCTTATATTTGGACTTAATGAATTCATTATCAGTGTCCTATGTTGCTTTGATCTCCTAATACACTACCTCTATACAAGTCCTGTAGGGTAGAAAGTGTACTTTTTTTTTCTTGGTCTTTAAAATACCTCAGTGCCTGGCTCACTATATGCATTTAAATAAATTTTAATTCAATTTGTTAAAACGTTCACCACAATTCTTCAAATTCTTCACCAATTCCAGTAGTCTCCAAGATTCCAGGAAATGAAAAGTGATCAGATGCAAAAGAAACTTGGGATTCTGAGTCTAAAGATGCTAAATATACATCTGAAGCTCAGAGAAAAATAAGTATCAAGAGAACTCAAACAAGATGCCATGAAAAAAAGTGTGAAAGGAAAAGGAAGTTACGATTTGAAAGTTTTAGTTCTTGAATTTGTTTTGCTTTTAAAGAAGATGAAACTGTTTAGCAGTACTTTATTATTCAGGCCACAGGAGCTGTCTTCACAGCCCTCACTCAGGAAGTAGAAGTCAGGCTACTCAGTAGGAACACTTTATTTCACACTGTGATTAGAAGGGACCCAATGGGCTCTTTTCACCCTAGATACCTCCTGCCCAATCTATCACTTTGCCTTCAATCTCACCCATAGAGATTTACTGCTTTTAGACTTGAAGATTTAAGATCTTTTAAAGCCTTCCATTAAAATGCAAATATCCTTGGTGGTGGGGACACCCTAAAGTCATCTACACACACACTACTAGGGATGACTTTACAATTATGGGAGAGCAATCTTGAGATACCTATGTAAATAATAGGGGAAGCGGGAAGAACTCCAAGGAAAAGATTTCCAAGAAAAGACAGGTCATTTATCCTTTTCCCTAAGAATAAGAGGAAGCTCTTCTTGGAATTATACAAGACTTTTTGGTTGCTGGGGAAGTTAGGTTTATTGATTAACAAGACTTTCCCCTATCCCTCGTGACCTACAGTTAAGTCTCCTTATTGACAGGCTTGGTGTATTACGTTTACTGCACTCTTGATCACTAACTGCTAGAGGGTTTAAGTCTAGAAAATCTAGGAAGATGATTTAATCACAAAATACTTAGATATTTAAACTACTTTCAAGAGAGATTTAGGGAACTTCCAGGAGAAGCTGTGTAGTGCAGTGCTCAGAAACATGGGTTATACTCTCAGGATAGATCTCACTTTAAATAGTAGCTCCAACCTATTAACTAGAAGGTGTGACATTGATCAAGCCACTTAACTTCTCTGAATATCTGACTAAATCAGGATTTTTTTTTTAATGGACCTGTTTGTTTTGTTAGAAATAAGTTATTCTTGGAAAGAAAAACAGCAACTTCACTGAAAAGAGGAACGAAACAATTAGCAAAGGCACTTCTTCAGGGAATGATCAATTGCCTCAACAGCAAACACCTTCAAGCCTCCTTACTACACCAGTAACCCAGCTCTACCCCCAGAGTATCAGAGTAGCTGAACTCTCCTAGTTCTAATCAAAGCAGAAGACCTCATTTAAGTAAATTATTACCCTTAATAGCTTGACTGAAATCAAAATTTATGACTTTGGTAATTGTTTTTGCCAGCTTCACACATAAGCCATGGTGCAGCCTTTAGTATTTTCACCTACTTGCATTAAAAGAGTGGAGTAATCACTTAGAGATGATGGCACTTAGTATCTCACTTACCTAGGAATCCACTCAAGCTTATGGTTTCCTGCAGTTCCACAGAAATCAAAAAGATTTCTTTTCCAGAGAGATCACTGGATGGATCTCTCCTTTGTCTACATCATTAAATCAGTCTCAGGCTAATCTCCGTCTCATTCCCCTAACTGCACAATGGTTACCAACTCTTCCACGTAGTGTGCTTATTCAGTATGAAGTAAAAATCTAACTTAACTCAAAGAGGCTAAGTCCATCAAAATACCGAGAGATATCTGAAATGTTAGAGGGAGGGTGCTTGACAGATTTTGCAACCCCTAACCTCCTCTATAAGCATCATCTTCTGCTAACCTCTTCAGTAGTTCTTGGGAAATTAAGTTCAACTCTCCTCCTGAGACTGGAGCAGAGAACCCATGAAATCCAGAAACAGACTATGATAGCTATAAATCGGAAATTACAAAACTTGCTGCTTAGCAGAAATTTAGGTTCCAAATCCTACCTATTTAGAGAAAGGCAAGAAGGATGCTATTCAATCATACAATTCCTTCCTCCATGTATCTAAAAGACAGGAGCTACTGTACAACAAGCAATTGGATAGACATAAAAGTTATGAGAAAAGACCCCCGTTTCTTTGAGGCAGAATATAAAATTAAACAGCCTGTGGG